TATGCTAAGGCTTTATAATTACAATGTTAAATGTCTGTATACTATTCTAGCAATTTGAAACACCCTAAGTTTTCTATTTTTTATTTAAAAAATTTTTTTTAATTTTTATTTATTTATTTTTTTAGAGAGAAATTTTTTTTTTCATTTTTTGAGAGAGCGAGTGAGCATGAGCAGGAGGAGGAGCAGAGGGAGAGGGAGAAGCAGACTCCCCGCTGAGCAGGGAGCCCACGATGCGGGCTCCATCCCAGGACGCTGGGATCATGACCTGAGCCGAAGGCAGACACTTAACTGACTGAGCCACCCAGGTGCCCCTAATATTTTTTATTATTGAAGTTTAGGTTGTTTCCATTTTTTTCTTATTTACTATATTACATGGCATTTTAGTATTATTTTATGTAAATATTTTAGTGTTGTGAATAATGATTATATGAATTTTTCTTTAAGGTAACTCCCCAGGGGTGAGATCAAAGTATAAGAATAAATGTGCTCTCCAGGGCCCTCAGGAGACTGGTTCCTACTCCGCCTCTCCAGTCTGGTTTCCCTGTTTCTTTTACCTTCACTAGTCCATCCAGCAGACTGTTCCCCTCACCTTTCTGCTGCTAATAGTCCTGTGACCTCTACTTGCAGTATTCTCCCTCCTCTTACCTAGGCCAGAGTTGCATAGATGGCTCTCAGGGGATTCACAAGCCTCTGAAAGAGAAATGTAAAATTTTGTGTATATATATATATATGTACATATATGCTTTGTGAGAGAAAACTAGAGATTTCATCAACTTCTCAGAGGAGGTATGCTGAAGTTCTAGGTCTAAAAGGGTTTTTCTTACTCCTTCAAGCTTTACTGATCTTTCCCTCCCTGGAAAATATACATATTCTTTTTTTAAAAATGATTTTTATTTATTTATTTGAGAGAGAGAGAAAGCACAAGTGGGAGAGAGGGGGAGGGGGCAGAGGGAGAAGCAACCCCCCCCACCCAGTGGGGAGCCCCACGTGGGGCTTGATCCCCTGACCTGGGCCAAAGGCAGACATTTAACAAACTGAGCCACGCAGGCACCGTGAAAATATACATATTCCTGATCTAGCCTTGTATTAATACTCTTAAATTGTTAACTAATGGCTTCAAGGGGATTATCTTGTTTCTTCAACTTTTAGGACAGATACTTTTAAATGGTGGACAGAAAGAATAAAAGGAAAAAAATGAACACATTAGAGATAATGTAGAAGAGGCATTTAGGATGATGCTTTATAGGTTTGGAACTCAAAAAATGGTAGCTACTATTGGTTCTTGCTAAAATGCTTATCAGGTGAGAGATAATGTAACATGGGCCCTGGATGCCAACTGAGGTTTGAATCCTGGCTTTGGTACTGAGCTGCGTGACCTTGGGAATGTTGCTCAGATTCTCTGTGCCTCATTTTCCTTAGCTCTAAAAGGAGGATAATAATAATACCCATTCATGCAACTGTTGAGATAATTACGCAAGATAATGTATGTAAAATGTTCTGAATGGCATCTGGTACATAATAAATGCTTGAAAAAGGTTGCTATTATTCCAGACTGAAGCACTTTCATATATGTTTTCTAACATTTGCAAAGATCTACAAGGTTTTTTTTTTTTTTCATTCTTTCAATTGAAAATTTCCAGACACATACAAAAGTAGACAGAACAGTATAATGAATCTCTGGGTACCCAGCACCCAGCTTCAATAATTATTAACACGTGGCCAGTCTTGTTTCAATACTCATCCACTTTCCCCCATACTTCGATTATTTTGAAGCAAATCCCAGCCATAATATAATTTCATTCAGTATGTATCTCTAAAAGATAAGAACTCTTTTAAGAGTTTATTAACCTCTTTTAATAGGTAGACTAATTGAGGCTCAGTGAGGTTAAGTAACATTCCCAAAGTGACCCAGCTAGTTTTTTTTTTTTTTTAAGATTTTATTTATTTGTGAGAGAGAGAATGAGAGACAGAGAGCATGAGAGGGAGGAGGGTCAGAGGGAGAAGCAGACTCCCTGCTGAGCAGGGAGCTCAATGTGGGACTCGATACCGGGACTCCAGGATCATGACCCGAGCCGAAGGCAGTCACTTAACCAACTGAGCCACCCAGGCGCCCTGACCCAGCTAGTATTAACCAAAATTCAAATATAAGATTGACTTCTTTTACATTGCCATTTGCTGACTGATACAAATATCAATGATCTGAAGGTTAGGCATCAAAACTCTAAATTTAAATAAATAGTTTTAGCATTTTAAAATTTAGAAGGAAAAATCAGAACAGAATAAAAGCATAGGTATTCAACATTGAGAAGGAATAGAGCACAGATTAAGTTCCTTTAGATTTATTTTTTCTCCGGTTGAAAGGATTTATCTTGATCTTTGAAGTCGTCAAACATGAAGTGTGAAAGTAGGGCATCAATTGTTCAGACTTTGTGCATGGTGAATAACTGAGCTAATGTTTCTTCTCCAGCTTCCAGCACTAAAACAAAGGCCCCTGCACCTGTTTGCAGTTTGTCACACTTTCAAAAGGAAATACTGTATTTCCTAGCAATGGGATTATTTAAAAGGAAGGGTATGCAGCCAGAAGCAGCATGTAGGGAATTAAAATTATAGCACCCAGCACTGTGACAGCTTTCAACAGATATTAATTGGTGATGATGGAAATGACAGTAATTATAATGATGTGGTTGACATATGGCATATAAACCACATGAACGAGCAGGTAAACAAGTCAGTTAGATGTCTGTAAATCGCAGCTTCCAAAGCAGCTTTGGAGTTTGCCTGAGGAAAGGGCTGAAGAGGTGGTGCACACAGTGCAGCACCTAAAACCACAGGCTTTGGCGCCAGCAAGAGTTCTGATCCATCCCCTACTACTGGACCTTCAATACATTACTTGACATCTCTGAGCCTCAGTTTCTGCATTTGTAAAATGGGGATAATTGTACCTATTGCATAGTGTTGTTACGAGGCTTAAATGAGATCATGTGACTGAGTTACAATGATTAAAATTATTTGGGAGTTACCAGGAAATGTCCCCCAAGCTTGAGAAAATGAGGTAAGTAAGACTGCCTTTCTGAAGCTGAGAAAGGAAACCAAGTGTTCTCAGGCTGGCAATAATGTATCTAGAGAAATCCTGGATCATTTACGAGAGAGAATAAATATTCCCAGGTTCACCTGGTAGCCTAGAGAGGCTCCAGCTGCCTGGGTTAAGTTTGCTAACAGGGAGAAATGAACAGGTAAGTATTAGTCCAGTGGTAGTGATGTCTCTCTGTGGATAACTGAATTAGCATTTGGCTCCTGTGCGTTTTGGGTAGCCCAAGTCTGTCTTGCAGGCGCTGATCACTCTGAGGTCTTTCACAGGAAAGACAGATCAAGCCACGCTGACCTTAGACAGTATGCACACAAAGCAATTAGAGGTCTTATTAAAATGCAGAGTCGGATTTGTTAGGTCTAAGTTAGGGCCTGAGATGCTCCCAGGTGATGCTGATTGGGCTGGCCCCCAGACCACACTTTGAGTAACAAAGCTACAGACAACACACCACCACTTCCAGTTACACCTCTACTTTCAACAGGGATTCACCAGCAATATTTACCATCCTCTCCTTCTTTTGGGGGTCACAAGTTTCTAACTCAGAACCTAATGCTTGCTATCCAAAAACTCTGCATCTAAGGACTGGAATAAGCCTCAGACTTACGTCCTTTGTTTTGTTCCTTTGTACCTAGACAGAGGGCAGGATGGACAATAATGTGTCCCAAATGGGGATGGGAGAGGAGATGGGACAAATTTCCTCTCTAGTCCAGGTATCCTGTCTGAGGTAGACTGAAGCTGAGAGAGAGGGAAAAGGGTACTTGATCACAGGTCCTGGGGAAGCCCAAGGCAAAGCAGGGAAAGTTGAAGCAAAACAGGTTAGCTAAGTGGGAAGAGACGGAAAGAGGGTAGTGAAGAGATGGTGGCAGGTGACTGCTTGGGAGCTAGGAGACCACAGCTTATCTGGTAGAGTGTGAACTGGTGGCTAGCATGATAATATCATCACTCCTGCGACAGGTGAGGCTAAATTTGAACCAAAGGCCACTTACAAGCCATATTCAGACTTGAGTTTGCTGAAATAAGGGCCTGGCAATGTGGAGCTTTTGAGGGTATCTTATTTCTAAAAATGTTGATTTGTTCATCTGAAAACAGAGATATAAAATTAATGGATTATGTGAAACTTAATTAGAAGCAAGATAAAAATTCATCTATAATCTTGATATGAATGGTATTATACAAAAATAAAGTGCAACAGGTCAGAAGAAAATTAACTACCACTATTTAATTATCAAAGAACTTTCAAGTCTTGAAACCTTGTCCCTGTAGAATATTTCCTCTAGGGGCGCCTGGGTGGCTCAGTTGGTTGAGCGACTGCCTTCGGCTCAGGTCATGATCCTGGAGTCCTGGGATCGAGTCCCACGTCGGGCTCCCTGCTCGGCAGGGAGTCTGCTTCTCCCCCTGACCCTCCCCACTCTCATGCTCTCTCTATCTCATTCTCTCTCTCAAATAAATAAATAAAATCTTAAAAAAAAAAAAAAAGAATATTTCCTCTAACAAGGAAAATGCTGTTACAATTATAAAGTCTGAATGAAGGCATTTTAATATTCCTTTTTTCCTGCATGTTAAATGTCTTATTGAATTATAAAATTGGAAAATTTTTGTCTTTCAGAAAGTTTTACTTAACTTTTTTGTATTACACAGTGTTTAAAGCTGTTCAAAATTTAATTATTATGACCAACAACATAAGATAAAAGCTTGTAATCCCTCAAAGTAGATCACAATAAATGGAAGGACTTTATTTCCTTCAAAGGGAACTGTCTAAATAAAGGAAGAAAATTGTGTATTAAGCTAAGCATAACGTTGTTTCCTGCCACAGAAAAAACCAATAGGCACACAATGGCTTGGGTCTAGCAAACAGAGCACCCAATTCTTTTTTTTTTTTTTTTTAAGATTTTATTTATTTATTTGACAGAGAGAGAGAGAGACAGCTAGAGAGGGAACACAAGCAGGGGGAGTGGGAGAGGGAGAAGCAGGCTTCCTGCCGGGCAGGGAGCCTGATGCGGGGCTCGATCCCAGGACCCCGGGATCATGACTTGAGCCGAAGGCAGACGCTGAACGACTGAGCCACCCAGGTGCCCCAGAGAGCACCCAATTCTTAACCACGTAGTCTTGACTTTGATCTCAGCTAGATGTCTGACCTTGGGAAGTCACTTGATTGCTCTTAGCCTCATTTCTCCTCTGTAAAATGAAGAATTAGACTAGTTGGTATTCAGTCCCTATGTTCCATTGATTTAGTAGAAGCCCACTTTCTTTTTTTTCTTTTAAATATATTTATTTATTTATTTGACAGACAGAGACACAGCGAGAGAGGGAACACAAGCAGGGGGAGTGGGAGAGGGAGAAGCAGGCCTCCCGCTGAGCACGGAGCCCGATGCGGGGCTCGATCCCAGGACCCTGGGATCATGACCTGAGCCGAAGGCAGACGCTTAACGACTGAGCCACCCAGGCGCCCCAGAAGCCCACTTTTGACTGTGAGAGCATCAAAAAATATTTGCCATTTCCCATAGCACTGAATGTTTTAGTAAGTGGGAACCCAGAGAGGTGAAAAAGTGTTACAGGGCCAGAGTTTGGTTAAACAGCAAGATGCATGACTTCTAGCTAGAGACCCTTTCTACAATATTATGCCACTTGAAATTCTTTCCACAGTTGAATGTTCTTGCTATTAAAAAGAAAATGCACCAGAATAAACCACAGAAGACATTGGTTTAACATAATTTCCTCTGTGGAAAGTGTTAGTTTTCTGGGTGGCTTAATACAAGTTGTAACTGACTGATTATGAATGTAAATTATGCTAGAGAACCACCTGAAAGCAGATCAAGTTCTCATATATAGCAGAATGGATAGTTTCAAGATTACACTGTACTGGTCCTCTTGGTCCATGAGTGACCTGAGGTCACAGGCCATGCCTGGTCCATCTGTGCTGTTAGCAAGGCAGGCACTCTGCAGCTAGGAGATTCTCCCACTAGTGCAGGGCTGTGGGGCAAAGGAGCGGATCTGCAGCATTAGGGAGAGGGGATCCGAAAGGGATGATACTCTCAGGAGAACCAAGCAAACTAAGGAAAGAGATCTTACAATGGACTCCAAACAAGAGTCTGCCCTCTGCACAGGCACATGAGAAGGGATGTCAGATATCCCTATCAACACACAACTAGGGGATGTGGAAGGGGGTGATGGTGAAGAAAAATAAATCACATCCATTTTTTTTGTAGGTATGCCCTGTCCCTCCCCACTCTTCTTCCTTTGAGAACATTTTAACATTATTATATATTAGTGTACCTGGACATATTATTTGAAAATGGAAAACTAGATGGTGAGATTATTCACATATCTTTTTTTTTTTTTTAAGATTTTTATTTATTTGATGGAGAGAGACACAGTGAGAGAGGAAACACAAGCAGGGGGAGCAGGAGAGGGAGAAGCAGGCTTCCCGCCGAGCAGGGAGCCCGATGCGGGGCTCGATCCCATGACTCCAGGATCATGACCTGAGCCGAAGGCAGTCGCTTAACCAACTGAGCCACCCAGGCGCCCTATTCACATATCTTTATGTAAAATTTATTCAACACTGGAAATGTGCCAGGCTCTGTTAAAAGTACTTTCCAAATAAATATTAAGTCATTTAATCCACACAACAGCTCTACGAGGAGGGTACTAGTTTACATCTTCCAAATGAGGAAACTGAGGGACAGAGAGGACAAACAACTTGCCCAACGTCACTCAGCTAGGAACTGGCAGAGCCCGGGTGGTCTTCTCCTGAACCCACACTTTGCTTTCTCCTTAGGAAGGGACCACGAAACAAGTGGTGAGAGGGTCCTTTCTTCTTTTGGCTCCTTGGCTTTTGAAACCACCTTTTACGTTAAGGGAATCCCGGCGAGACCCGAGAGAGGTGCTGTCACCTCCCACTCTAAAAGCTGAAAGTGGCAGGCACTCATTCTGCAGCACACTCTTAGCTCAGGCGTTCCGGTACACAAACTAGATTGAATCGGGAGCTAATGATAACAAAGAAACCACAGGAAACCCTCTCCGGAAACAGTGGTCGCTACAGTGGGCACGGTGCTGGAGTTGGTTTAGGCACCAAAGAGAGAGTAGAGTGTTAGTGGTGGGTGGGTTTTGGAGACTGCCTGCCTGGCTTTGAATCCTGCATCTAACCTCTCTCTGAGCAAGGTGCCTAGCCTCTTTGTGCTTCAACTTCCTCACGTGGAAGGTGAGAATAATAATAGTACTGTTTCTCAGATTGTTGCAAGAATTATGCAGGACAACAGAGGGTAAACCATAGCACTGGAACAGAGTAATCTCTCAATAACAGAGGAGGAAATTGGCGTCGGCGTGGGTAGCCGTACAAGAACATGCCACTGTAAAGTGAGAGAGTTTAAGTAGACACACAATTCAGTTCATTACAACAACCACCTAATGAACTGTCCATCAGGAATTTAGAGCGTCTGGACTTCAGTAAACCAGCTAACGAAGTCTTTCATGGTCTCACTGAGCCAATGAGACTTCATCCTGGTGGATTTAGCCTGGTCTCTGCATGGCACTTTATAAGAAACAAATCTATCAATCAAAATGTACTTAGAAGTGAAAAGAGGGCGCCTGGGTGGCTCAGTTGGTTGGGCGACTGCCTTCAGCTCAGGTCATGATCCTGGAGTCCCTGGATCGAGTCCCACATCGGGCTCCCTGCTCGGCGGGGAGTCTGCTTCTCCCTCTGACCCTCCCCCCTCTCATGTGTTCTCTCTCATTCTCTCTCTCTCTCAAATAAATAAATAAAATCTTAAAAAAAAAAAAAAAGAAGTGAAAAGAATACAGAGAAAAAAATGGTTAGATTTTCCTTTTCCTATCTCTGCCACCTGCAGCACCCTCATGACAGCTACTCCCTGACTTTCCCCTTGCCCTCGACTTTGAACTCAGAACAACCGAGACCTAGTTTGTGGAGTGGCAGACCCTAGCCTTTCCTCCACTCTGTCTTCAGCATTCTCTCCAGTGAGAAAATTTCAGTCTTAGAAGCACATTGCTCATCCTCCATCTGATTCTCTACTCTTTGTGATGCAAAACCCTGGAAACCAGACTGGAAAAAGAAAACTTCCCGTAGAGGGGAAGAGAAAGGGGAAGGTTTTGAACCAATACATTAATAATTTTTGTAGTCACCACTCAAGCAGGATCCATGTAGCACTAAGGGAAAGGGAATTTCACAGAAATCTCAGAGCAGCCATCCTTCAGAATGCAAGGCTAGCCCAGGGCTCAGGTTATTTGATTATCCCTTGTTATTTATAATCTGATTGTTTTTAGTATACATGCTGCCGAAGCGAGCACTATAATCTGATTGTTAATGAGACTCTTTGTCTAATTTCTGTTTCTCTTTGTGGTCTTCTCATATCTCCCCCTGCTGCCAGTGAATCTTTCAATATTTCCTCAAATTTCGAATTTCAGAAGCAGAGAGCCAAAGTGACTTAAATAACTTTTATCATATCCATTGGTCAGGGCTTTGACCATGGAGCAAAGTCATAGGTCACAGGCTGGTCTGTGGGTTTGTATCTCTTGAATCAAGTCCCGTGGCTAGTCCAACCAGTAACCATTTCTGTTTTTACAATAGCTTGGCTCCCACATCTTTCCGCAGTAGAGGGCTGGATGAGGCAGCTTCCTCAGAAAAAGATAGTCGGTATGAAGTTAGAGATGTGAAGAAGCAGGGGCTGTGTAGAATCTCTTCTAGTAAAGTGGCAGCAGTGACCACAGCTCCATCTGGTTCCCAGAGGTAACAGTGGCAGTGGACCTGGAGGCAGGTGTCCAGGATCAGGTTGGGGGGAATCCATGAGACAAGCTGTAGTGTCTGGGCCTAGTAAAGCTGCAGTGTCCACCAGATTAGCTCTAGGGTGTGTTGTAGGCTTGGGTCCTGGCTGCAGAACCTCCAATCCTGGTTTCCCAGCACTCCTAGAGATTCTGCGAACCACCGATATCCTTTTAATAAAGTTCTGTTTCCACTTAGTTCAGTTGATTTCTGCTGCTTGTGAGATCCTAATTCAGAGACTGTTACAGAAGGAACCCAAGGGTCAAAAGGCAGCTTTGCTGGCCTTGTCTGTGGTCCCCACACCCTTCCGAAGTCCATGAATCTAAGTAACTTGCCCAAGTTCATACAGCCGGTAGCATGACCATACTAAAACCTCCAAAACCCCTTCAGCAAAACCCCTTTTGATTCTTAGCCCAGTTGATTTTCTTGTGAAAATTCTTGGGGACCTCTACACCTGCCTTATATTTGCAAGTTAACTCACAGTTTCCTTATTTTGTAGTACGTGCTTTATTACAATTCTCAGTTTTTAGAGTTTACTGGATCTCAAATTCTATTTAATGAATCTGAAATCCAACCAGTTAGGTAAGAGGAGGTGACAGCCATCATCACACAAACGGAAGAGTTCACCTCAGATGGGAGCTTGGATAAAGTATTCACAGTTAACGGGGAAGATAAACATACAGGGAGATGGAGAGGTAGGGCAGTTAGTAGACTTTATTGGTGAGAGGACGTGGCAATTCTCTTTGATTCCTTCAGTTTTCTCAGTGAAATAAAAAGCCGGTCATCATCTGAGTGTAGGAATGGGAAAGGGTAGTAGAGGCCTGAGAAGGAGGAGGAATTAAATGATACATTAGGGGAGTGGGAATGTGAATTGTCTAGGGAAATTAGCAGGGTTGCTGGGTACCATTGTGGGCCCACTTGAGGATCGTGGTCAGAAATTTTAAAATCAGATCAATTAGCATAATTGTATATTTTTCTCCAGCCATGTTCATACAAGATAATTATAATTCAAAGAATTAAGAAACCGAGAAACTAAGGTGTTAGATCATCTGTGTGTGTGTGTGTTCACAAACAGGAACATATAGTATATAGTTTTGTGCCTTTATCTTTTTCTTTTTTAAGATTTATTTGTGAGAGAGAGAGCGAGCGAGAATGCGCTGAGTAGGGGGAGGGGCAGAGGGAGAGAATCTCCAGCAGACTCCCCGCTGAGCGCAGATTCTAACGCAGGGCTCCATGCAGGGCTCGATCCCATGACCCTGAGATCATGACCTGAGCCAAAACCAAGAGTCAGATGATAAACTGACTGAGCCACCTAGGCTCCCCTGCTTCTTTCTTTTTTCACTGAATAATACATATTGGAGATTATTACATATCAGACTGCTTTATACTTTCTATTATCTGC